AAGTTTTTCCTTCCCATGCAGGTGATGCCATGCTACCTCGCCCTGTTCCTCGTGCCTGGTGATGAAGAGGTGATTTCTCTAGGCTGTTTCAGATGCAATACTTGATCTTGTAGAGCGTTTTGGTGCGTCACCGGAACTTACTCCACGGCCATAGCGTGAAGGAGTAGTGTCCCCAGAAGCTCTGCGGTTGACATTGTCATGACGTGTCGGGGAGTCAGCATATTGCCTGAGGTAACCTTCTTCCCTGCTCCTTCGGCGTTCATGTACCCTTCTAGCAGGTCCTTGTCCTACCGGTTCATCCACTCCAGGTTTGCTATTGAAGCAGGATTAGACCTAGTTGGATCTACAAAATCTTGATGCAAATCAGGGCTCTCTTGGGGATCATTTGGGTTTACAAACTTTGCTCCGGCGTGACCCTGACGGGCCTTATCGAAATAAACTGTGTAGGGAACATTTTCTTCAGCCTCCCAATCGCCAAACTTCGGCACGGGGAGCGCTGTTGCCGTTGCTGCAATGGAAACAAAAGCTTGTTTTTAGGCAATACAAACAGAAATAATCTCCATCATTAATAAAAACAAACAGAGATGGATCGATGGGTGCTAGGATGCAGTGAATTTGTGATGATAAACATATACAAGTTTATCGAATTCGGAACAAACTAGAGACGAACACACAGATAAACCAACCTTGTTTATCCAATTTAATCGACATTGTTGGATGCTTTAAATTTTCTAATATCAAAGATTACAAAGCAGTCAGATCCTTATAAACCCAGATCAGAAATCAAGCCGAACATGAAACGCGTCATATAAAAATCTCATCCATCCAAAGGCTCATTTCAGGAAATCAATTGCCTAAAACATAAACAAGATTACAATAATAATAATATAAACAATATTCACAATACAAAACCTGAAAAGCATCAAATAAAATCAATTAAAGAACTAAAAGGAAACACACAATCATGCTTTGCTTAGGTTTATCTCTCGTGGCATAACAAAAAGAACAAAATCCCATAATTCCATTAATTACAAACAGAAGAATAGTATAAAACTACACCAAAATACCAAAAAAAAAAAAGCTAAGAAATAACTTACTGCCATTTCTTTCTTCAGAAAACCCAGATAGAGAAATGAGGAGAGTTTTAGATAGAGAAAGAGTTTAAAGAAGAAAATAAGAAATAATGAGAGAGAAAGAGGTGGAGATGGAGGGTTTATCAACCATTGATCGGCACCACAAGTAATGTTTGACCATTCTCCGCTTACATCTCTTTCTTTCTCACTCTGTAAAAACTTCAGTTTCTTCACATTTTCAGTTGACTCTCTCAAACCCAAGCTTCGATTTTTATTTTTATTTCCCAGTCAATTTCGTCCGAGTTAAATTTCCACTCTCCACTCCAGTTACCATCGTTCCCCACTCATCTAACCATTGAATGCAATGGTTTTTGGTGACTGGAATTAATGAATTTGGTGCTGACGATAGCAGCCTTAAAAGGATGTGCTGGCTAAACTGTTAGAGTCATAAATCTAACGCCGTTACTGTCTATGGGGGCAGACTTTTCGTCAAAGCCTATACTGTCTTTCTCCACGGTTAACTATTTTTTTTTTCAAATTTAAGAATTTGTTTATTTTTAGGGTAAAATACAAAAATGATCCCCTAATTGTAGGATGATACTTTATTAGGTCTCCTAATTATTGAAAGTTATAAAATGATCCCTAAACTATAGGGTGTTATTTTGCTACCCGGCTTTTAAAAGTTACAAAATGATTACGACTAATCATATGTTCTAAAACTCGTCATTTTCGTTAAAAATTTATGGTCGTCTAATCTAGACGTTAAACTATTGATTGAAATATGATAAAATAAGATCCCAAAACTGTTTGAACTGCATTTTATGAATCAATTCTCCATTTATATTATAACATAGAGGCAATGCTTGAAACATTGTGTCGTCGAGTCAGTACTTGAAAGCAATAACGATGCAAGTAAACATCATTAAAATACGATTTTATCATATTTCAATCAACAGATTAATGTCTAGCTCAAACGATCGTCAATTTTCAACAGGAAATGACGAGTTTAGAACATATGAATAATCGAATGATCATTTTGTAATATTTTATAGTTTGGGGACTAAATAAAATAATACCCTATAATTAATAAACTGTTTTATAACTTTTAATAATCAGTGATTCAACAAAATAAAACCTTATAATTACGATTTATATAATTTACCCAATTTTTTATAATAAGAAGTGTACATTAATATTAATAACAATGAAATATAATTAATTTTCATTAACACCTTACGATCTATCCTTTTATAAATACTTTTTTTAAATAAAGGTATATGTTGTCCACGAGTTAAAAAAATAATTATTATCTCTTAAGATTTTAGATTTGAGTATTAAAAGTTGTAATAATGTTTGAATTTTTATTATTAAATGGTTGAGAATCATTAAAAAATATTACCTTATAATTATGATAGATTAATTAAAAAAATATTCCTTTTAGTAACATTTTTTTAAATAAGGTTTGCTTTGCAAGGGTATATTTGTATATTACGAATCTGTTAGCTCTTGAATATATTCCGATTACTAAAATATTTTTTTATTGTTTTGATGATTTATTAATTATCAACTTTAATTAAAAAATTGCAATTACACGATATTTAAAATAAAAATATTAAACCTTTTACTGACCAAGTTAGAAGCAAATTAACTTTCTAATTTGATTTAATTTACATCCGAAGTTTCTAAGAAGATATAGTTAAAAACATGATGCATTATTAACCTTTTATTCTTTTATTAAAAAGTTACAGGTTCTCGTAGTAGCAAAATCCCCGAGTTTTGGTTAGCTGGCTGCAGTATGGTGTTGGTCGCCAATTTTCAGCATTTATTAATATTTTTTATATTATATATTTGTTTTTTTTCTTCTTTTTAAATTTTAATAATTATATTTTTATGATATATTTTTCTCTACATTTGTGACACGCTTTCGTTTGTCTTTTGGCACGTTTTAATATTTTTTATTATTTGTTTGATTGATTTTATTGTTTATTTTTTTAGGGTTAAACTTGACATTGCCTCGATTGATGTATATGGCGTTTATTTATTATCTAACTGACACGCCATGCTTTGGACTCTCAGATGAATTTGGATATACATTTTGTGTTCATATATAATTTTCTCGAGATGATCGACTCTTATTTACGGTTGTCGGTGATATTTTAGTAGTTTTATCCCTTATTGTGATTTGTTTGGTTTGTTTGTGGATGCAATCAAACCTATTATCATATCTATTTTGTTTGAGTTTTTTTTTATGAATTTTTAACTTTTTTCTTATATAGTTGTTATATGACCGACTAGTTTCGTATTTATGATTATAAGAAATGTTAATTTACGTTTATAATTATAAACTATTATTGTAATTTTAAATTTATATATTTTAATAAAACTAACTGTTTTTATTTGCTTAAAAGATTCATCGAAACGAGATTACTTAAGTCAAGGTTTGTCAAAAAAAAATTCAAAAGAAAAATCCGGTCTTGGTGATTTTAAGATGATAATGTAATTTTACTGATATGAAAAATATTTTTTAAATTTGTCTTATAATAAATTCTTCTTTGGTTTAAATATTTTTTAAAATAATTTTTATATAAGGGAGAAAATTATTATTCTTAATAAATATTAAATATATACTTTAAAAAAATAAAGATATTAAGCAAAAACTTTTAATCATCTCATCCAAAGATTATAAACAAAGACAACTGAACAACTAAAGTACGATTATATGACATTATTCGAATGAAAAGAACATATACTAACATTATATGTGGACTACATAAATATAATGTATTTAACAAGATAATATAATATAATATTTATAACATTTAACAATTATTTATACATGACATGATAAAAACACATACTCACATAAATTCAAATTCTAACTAATTTTTTACCTAAAACGTCGTTGGTCCTATTTTCATTTATGATTGATAGACGATGATATTAAACTTGATGTTGATTGCCGTTGTCAATATTTATTGTTTTCCCTTTATATTCTTATAATACATATTTGATTTCTTTTCTTTTTTAGTTTTTAATAATTATGCATATAATATGTTTTTTATATATTTAACATGTTTTAGTTGTTTGGCTGTTATTTTTGTTTATATTTTTCTTATGGTTGGATTTGACATTCGTCACGACTGATCAAAATAGCGTTTATCTGTTATAATGATCTTCTTCTTTGCTTTGAATTATCAGATTGAATTTGGATACGTGATTTGAGTTATTGGATTATTTTTCACATCGTTCGACTCTGATTTATGGTTTGTCGTTAGTCTTTCAATAGCTTTATCCTCTTTTGTGATTCGTTTATGATGCATCAAATATGTTCATATCTATCTTTTGTTTAAATTTTTGATTAGATTTTTAATTTTTTGTATAGTCCTTGTGTGATCTTAAATTGTAAGTTTTTGTGTTTATAAAAAAATATCTCAATTATGTGTTTAGTTTACAATTATAATTTAAACCTTTATTATTGTAATTATGAATATTTTTTTTTAATAAAACTAATGGTTTCTATAAAAAATAAATTCTAACTAATATATAAATGAAAATAAAAAAAATATTTCTAAAATTTTGAATATGTTTTATATAAATACATATCTGGATGCATATATTAATTTATCTTCTTCTTATGTGGATAAGGATGAAATTCAACCAATAATCAAATAGTAATTATTATTAGTATTTTCATAACGTGCAATAAAGTACGCATCGTGCTCAAAGAAAACGAATCGCCGATTCCCCCTTCGACTTTATCCCATTATGGGAATCACCCTCAACCGTCCAATTTCCCCATAGTCGATTTTAGCCGTCCATTTAAAGGGTCCCCATCCTAAAACCAATGTTCCCTTAGCCCACACACATAATGGTTTACAGATTGTATATATAGCGTAAAACCGACGCTTCCTTTTTCTATTTCAAAGCACCCACCATTTGTCTTCTTCCCTCCAATTCGCCTTTTTTTAATTTCTCCACATAAGCGGAGGTGACTTAAAAGAAGCGGCTCGGTGAGAATGTCGGCGGAAGCTAGCGGCGGAGGACAGACGGAGGACAAGAAGCCGGGGGATGCTGCTCACATTAATCTCAAAGTGAAGGGCCAGGTATTCGTTTTGTTTTCCTTCGTTTCATCTCTCTCTTTTTTGTTTAATCTTTTCCATTTATTTTTGATCTGATCGTATATTGTGCAGGACGGCAACGAAGTGTTTTTTAGGATCAAGAGAAGCACTCAGCTGAGGAAATTGATGAATGCGTATTGCGATAGGCAGTCGGTAGATTTCAACTCGATTGCTTTCTTATTTGATGGGCGGAGGCTCCGAGGAGAGCAGACTCCCGACGAGGTAAATTTCAAAATCCTCTATCATTTCAAGGTCCTGAACACCAAATCACCAAAATGGACGAGGACCAAACGTATAAATTTATTGTGAGAAGTTTTGGATAATAAATCAATAATCTGATGTTTGGGGCAGCTTGAGATGGAGGATGGAGATGAAATTGATGCAATGCTTCATCAGACTGGAGGCGGTGGTGGAAGTCCATAGCTGGTAATTGGAAAAGAAAGCTTGGGAGCATTAGTGTTGGTAAAGTATCATCTTATTGTTGTTATATCTAATGTAAATGAAAGATCTGGTGAACTTTGGGGTTCTGTTTTATTATGCATGAATATATTTGTTTGGAAATCAAGATTTTGATACTGAGTTATTAACATCCCTATCTCATAAAACAACAACATATCCCAGGCATTGATGGGTATGTTTTATATGTCATGCAGCATGAAAACTCAAGCTGGTAACTGAAGTCTTTTGTTGTTCTTCCAGCTGCAAATCCCATCGAGCATAAAGCAATAAATGATGGGAAAATATTATATTTTTTACAATAAAAATATTATATTTGATAAATTGTTTGATAGATTTAATATTTTTTAAATATTAGTGATACAATATTTAAAAGAATAAATTTAAGATTTATATATTTTTAAACTAAATTTAATAATTATATTTTTCATATTTATAATTCATGATTATATATATAATCTTAAGTTGAGTATTTCTAATATAATTAATAATTTTAATTTCTTATTAAAATAAAATATTCAAAAATATAAATGATTCATACGTTAATATATGAATATATTTTTTATTATACATCTAAATATAAATATACATTTATATAAATATATTTTATTCGATATTGAAATATTGATTAAAATATAAACCATATTTTAATACTAGTTTATACAGAAAAATAAAAATATCAAAAGTATAAATGATTCATACATTTAATATAAATTGAATCATTATATTTTCTATACATCTATATTTAATAAGAAAATAAATTATTGGGGGACTGTTTTGCAAGTTTTAAAAGTTGGGGACCTAAATTCAAGTGCTTGAAAAGTTCAATGACCGTTTATATAATTTACCCTAATTTCTAACAGTGATTAAGTTGAGGGACCTATTGCAAACGGAATAAATGTTGGGGGACTGTAAAATTAAACATAAAGAAAAATAATTGAAGAAAACAAATGTCCTAACCTAAAATTATCATACAAAGTATTAACAATGATTTAAATAGACATTGCTTTAAAAACATTAGAAAATTAAAGCATACCCCAGAAGGAATAATATTGGCCAGTCAAGTTGTTAATGTTTCTCGTCCTTGTAAGAGTACAAGCTGAGGAAGTATGGCAACAGCTCCTAGATATAAGGAAATGTCCACATTACCTGGGAACCATTTTCCGTTAAATCAAAATATAAAATGAACCATAATACTGGAGGAAGAAGAAGTTGAAAACAATACCTCTTGAAGGTGAATTTCCCGTGAATGAAAAGGGCCAGAGCAGGCAAGGGAATAGAGGAATAATGGCGGAAAGTGTCATGGTCTTTGACCTTTGAACAATCTTATGGACACGGATGTTACAAATACTCGAAAGGAGCTTCCCAGAAATATTAATTTCATCAAAGTGTTGTGAAGAGAGATGAAATCAGTGAAAATATCCAAGTAACGGCTAGCGAAAAACGATGGCGAAAAGCTCTTGGGTCTTCAAAGAAATACCTGGCGCAGATGAAGCAAAATAAAAAATCTGGAAAACGAATGGAAACCTAAGAATAAAAGTAATAGTTTGAAAAAACAGAAAAAAAAAAAGGAGAAAAAATCACCGGCGCAAGATTTCATAGTATGAATCTTGAGGAGCAAGACGAGAATGCTGGCCAGGTGAGTCATAATCACCTGCTAATCTGAAAATATTCATTCTCGATCTTCCAAATCAACAACCTAATTTCCTTCAAATTCTAAACCAAAAATGCTAAAACGACTCCGACGATAATTTTTTTTGTTCATGTATAATTTCTTATTCATTTTTTTGTTTATGTAGAAAATCGAACATATCCACAATTACAATCTTTATTTACTTATTATATGTGATAATTATAAGTGATATTATCTATTCTAAAGACTTTCAATATTTGACAATAACGTTTAAATTTACGGTCGTTTATATTCGAACCTAAGACCTTTAAAGATAACAATTATCTTTTAACCATTAAGATAATTTAATTCGTGTTCCACAATTGCAGTCTTTATACTCGATTGTACACTTGCACTATAAACATACACACACATAGTAACTTATTCAAACATACCTTATACATACTATCTACATATTAACATGTAGCTTACTTATCCAATTGCTAAACAGACAACCCAAATCATAAGGTATACTTATAATATCAAAATTACATACATTTACATTCTAAAATAATATATATATATAAAAGCAATTATCGATATGTCAGTATTGTAACATCCTCCATGTCGGGTTAGTGATCAATTTGTAAAGTTTCAGCATTTGGTGATTTAAGTAGAATGATGAAAGAGTTCAATGACTTATTTGAGTTATTTTGTGTAGGATTGAATTATAAAGAAGGAAGATTAGAAGGACAAAATGGTTTTTATAGTAATATAATTTTGGGGTTAGTATTATATTAAGTACGTGGAAGAGTAGGAAATTAAAAGAAGCTTCCAGAGTCATCTTCTTCTTTCGTCTTCTTCTACGTGAGACCCAAGCTAAGGCAAGATTTTCTGTTAGTGAATTTCTTGATGAATTTATGGTTGATTCATGACCATTAGGCAATAGTTAAGTTTAAAGGAAGTTTAATGTTTTAAAAACCTCAAGATGAGAAGTATATGAAGAATTAAAGAAAGGAAGTAGAAAAGTGAAATCTTAGATTAGAGTTCATAATAAGAATTGGAAGTGAGATTGACTTGTCATCAGTTAATTAAGGAATATGAAGTGTTAGAATTGGAATTAGAACACCTTGAAAAATTAGTGTGATTTTGATGCCATGTAAATGATGGAAATGTGGGTTTAAAGAAGTGATTATGGAATAGAAATGAGTTTAAATATGTATATGGAAGTTAGGAATATTAAAGGAAGTAAAATATGAAGGTTAAGCTGAAATGAAGTGATTTTCGAGCTAAAAAATAGGATTTCTGGGCTAGGGAATCGATACCATTCAAGGGGAATCGATACCCCTCAAACGAATATGAATTTCCATAACGCTAGAGGGGAATCGATACCCCCAGGGGGGAACCGATTCCCCCATAATAAAAAAAAAGAGAAAAGAAAGAATAGAGACTAAACTATCAATTTCTTAAATTGGTAGGCTATTAGAGGTTAATTTCAAGAATTAGGCATGATAATCATCTTGAAAATTTTGCTTATGTAGATATTGAGCCTAATCGAGTTCCGGAACCATCGACAAGTAGGATCAATCGAGGGAAAACAAAGAAATCTAGGTGAATGCATATGCATAGCATGAATATGTATTTTATTCAGTTCTAGACTTGTGATAAGTCTAGATTCAATATTTTGATACATGATCGTAGTTCATATGATGACATATGACATGAATCCATACCATATGCATTATGGGACATGAATATGAAAGAAAAGTTATATGAGTTATATGAAAGGTATGAAAAATAATATGTCTACGTGATATGAATTAGATAAATTGTGAAAGCCCATGTTATGTAAATGAGAACTATAGGTATAGTTGGCATGCCAAGGGTAGAGGGTCTATGTGGTCCTTCGGGACATATATGTATTCTTTGGAACATGTGTGAAGTCTGGTGAGACACATACTTGATCCTTGGCATATGCATATGATTCTTAAGGAATGATATGTGGTCCTTCGGGACTATATGTATTCTTTGGAACATGTGTGAGGTCTGGTGAGACACATACTTGATCCTTGGTATATGTATATGATTCTTAAGGAATGATATGTGGTCCTTCGAGACATATATGTATTCTTTGGAACATGTGTGAAGTCTGGTGAGACACATACTTGATCCTTGGCATATGTATATGATTCTTAAGGAATGATATGTGGTTCTTATGGACATTATTATATGGCACTACAGTGCATTCTACGCGGCACTCCGATGCAATTCTACGTGGCACTTAGGTGCAATTATATGAGCTGTGGTGACAGCTAGTGCACAACCTCACAATACTCACATACCTTAGGTTCTCTGTATGGTACCATGGGCTAAGGAACTTACTAAGGCAAACTTATGAATGTGAATTTGATAAGTATATGTGTAAGAAACATGGTTTTGGTTATTGCATTACTTACATACATCTTATTACTGTAACCCATCTCATTTTGGCAATTACTTTATATTTATTGATATTATTATTATATTATTGCCTCACTAAGTCGATGACTTAGCGTGTGAGTGTTTCACACGTAGGATCCGATAAAGTAGACGATCGAGGTTAAGCAGCTGGACAACATTACTCCTGCAACTATCAGATCAGAAGCAACTTAATCAGTAGGTCATTTTCTTATGAAAATGGATGTTGGCATGTAATTAAATAGTTAAGTGTACGCTCTGAATATTTTGGTAAACTTATATTACCATATGTATATTATTATTTTTCGTAATATAGTTCAAGTATTTTACTATTATTTGTAATGAGTTGTGTTTTAAAAGTCAATATAATATCTCTGACTTGTATCCGGGTTGGGATACGGGTTGGGGGTGTTACAAGTATTGTCGGTAATTATCAACGAAAGTTACACATCAGATAAAATAGATATTATTTTAAAAATTATTTTTAAATAATGATATTTTGATATAAAAAAATCCAAAATTTCATTCATCAGCTAAAGTGTCAGTAACTGTTCGCGAAAACTACACGTATCATATTTTCAATCATCCGACATTTAAATTAGTGTAAAGTATTGTAATAGTCATTGAATTTTTCTAAAGCTTTCATTTAGGTCCCTCAACTTTTAAAACTTATAATATAATCCCCAACATTAGTCCGTTGCAATATGGTCCCTCAACATTTAGTCTGTTTGCAATATGATCCCCGGTGTAACTATTGGGAGACCATATTGCAAACGGACTAAATGTTGAGGGACCATATTAAAAGTTTTAAAAGTTTAGAAACTTAAATGAAATATTAGAAAGTGACTATATACTTTACCCATAATAATACGCTTTAAACGACGACGTTTCGTAAACATCTTCCAGTTTTGTATTTTTCGAATACTCGCCATTATTTTTTGGTTTTAAGATTTTTCTTCTTCGTTAACTTTCACTCCGATTATTCGTTCTCAGGTTGATCAATCTCGTTAATCCCGTAAACCATGTCGGCTTCTGAATCA